TGTCGTCGGTGTCGGCGATACGATGATCAACGATTCAAGGTCGCTAGAGTTCGTTGTGGCCGTGATATCGTTGGCCAAGGTAAAGTTGCCAGTGCTGGTAGGATCACTAGCCGTCACGTCCACTTCAGACACAACCGCCCCGCCAGTCGACCCGACCAAGAGTTCGCCGCTGCCTCCTGCGATCGTCGAAGGGGTCGACACGGGGGCAATCGTCGTGGACGACGACGACACGCCACTGGCTTGGGACGCATCGGCGGTCTCAGTGGACGTGGCTACGATGACCCCGATGGCGGTACCCACGACCACAAGGGCGGCGGCGAAGACGATCAGGATCTTCTTGCGCTTTCCTTGCAGGAATGACGCTTCGTACTCGTCCGTGTCCTTGTCAGCCATCGACCGTGACGGCACCCAGTCCGTTTCGCGCCAAACGGACATGGCCGTGGGCGGCACGGGCGTGACGGCGTCGTCGGCTGTCGTCGTAGTGGTCATAAGTGTAAGTTACCGTGAGGCAAACGTAGAAATGCTTCGGCAGCACCATGCCGCCATGTAAAAACCACCACACCTACTATGGTGTGTAACAACAGGCCACGATCGGCTTAAGTGCGGTTGGGTTCATGTGGCGACCGAAACCTTTATTTGACCAACTAATTTGAGACATCCGTACAGAACCGAGAGGTAGAAATGCTCGTGTGTTCACAACAACGATACACTTTTGATTGAGGTGTTTGATATCGTAGTCTATATGTAGCATCATGCAGATTCTGTGTTCTTTAAAGGTGCAAATTGCCGTCGACATTTGGTGCCGTACTCGATAGTTGGTCAAGATAAATTGCCTGTAATTTGTTGTTTTTACAGAAACTCCATTCTATATTTGACGGATTAAATTGCGCAGGTGCATTGTTGCATACTAGTACACAGAACTACAGTAGTTCTACTGTAGTTCTACGTAGTACAAAAACGTCGCCGTTTTGGTGAACAGCCAATCCACGTCGATGATTGAAGCTTGGCTAATTTGGATTGGCTGGTGATAGTTCAGGTTCAACTAAACACATACTGGCTTTTTGCCGAGATTGGCTGCTGCTTGCTGTCACAGAACATGTGTGAGGTAAGGAAGGACAAAAGGAAGCCAAGCGGCCTGTAGATGTTCGTACAAAGACTCAGATTTCCACGCCCACTGCACGCGGAAATACTTTACGTCGGGATTGAGCATGACTGTACATCGCATCGATGCGTTGACGTCGACATGTTCTTCTGTTGGACTTCTCTCAAGTACAGTACAGTACTACTCTAGGGATGTTTGTTGGTGTTACTAATAACTACTACTATTAGTACTAACGTAAACGGCCAATTCTTGCCCTCTTTCAGTTTTCTATGTCAAATATTTTAATTATACCCAATCAAGTACCTACCCGGCACTGAATCAGCCGTGATTGGCTGAAGTACTTTTCTGCACGAAACTCGCACAAATTATCGAGTGGAATTCAAACACATCTGCAATTTCACTCATGATGGGCTACACACATAGACTAATTGCAATGACCGGTACGATGAAAATTGAACAATGTTTATTCCGATGGTACCTCCGCCGCAAGGTGGTCATAGTTTGAAGCTGGCGAAATGCTAGGGGATTATATGTGTTAGGGGTGAAGGATTAGCTTAGGGCCATAGGCAGAGCGAACTTTTTTGCTATTGGTCAATGGTTTCTCCTTAATATAATTGCCTGTAATATATTATCAAAGTAGGTGCGGTTAGGTGTATATTAGCTTTAGCAATTGTTTTGAGCTCATATTAAAAATATTGTCCAACCCTCTCGTTACCCTTCAAACCCATACTGAAGTCAAGTTTAAAGAGGGCAAACAACTGGTCCGGCATATTTCAAAACTTTTGTGTTTGCTTCAGCATAACTACGTTAAAAATACTCCAAATTACGAGCAATTTGAACGACTGGATAGAGCGTTCTTTCCTCTACAACTGGATAACTTCAGATTTTTGTAATTTTGCTTAGCCTATGAGATAAGGACAAAAAGCTAAGGGGTCGAAATGAGGGCAACAATTGGTCGTTTACGTTAGTACTACGTAACGTTAGTATTACTGTACTAATAACGCTATCTTTGAACTATGTAACTTACAGTTACTGTACTTAGTACTAACAGTAAGTAGTGAACACCAGTACACACACACGAAGATCTCAGTTGTAATCGCTGCCCCAATTACATTAGCCGTGTCAACCTCGAATACTCACACACACTTGCGGCCCATGTCACGCGGCCAAAGCTTGAATGAAATATAAAACCGAAAATAATAAAAAGGCCGGGGAGATGCGGGAACATGACACAAACACATCACTATGAAGAATTAAGGGTCCTTGATTCCTTCAAGTCATGGTGTACCATTCTCGAGGGGATACATGCAACTTTTTTCAAGTTGTCATGTGCGAGTCTACAAATAACTGAATCTGCCGCTTCCACGGAAACAAACAGCGTGTACATACGCGCGGCTGTTATTAATACATATTATTATTAACTTGAATATCTTTATGCTGATATTTGTATTAAGTGTGCATATTTTTATTTATCCCCATAATTATGTACTTTTTTCAAAACGATATATATACATCCTGTACATGCGGGAAAGGCGCTATGCAGGTCAGCGATTACTCAATGTATACTGCACAACGGGTCACGAAACTCTATTCCACATAACAACAACCAATAATATCAAGATCACTTTGTTGATGTCGCCTGACTCAACAGCTGTAGAGAAAGACAACTTCGAACTTGCCAAATTCGTGGTATTTCAAGAACAAGCGTGTACATGCGGGTAAGATGCCTCATGCCAGTGAGAGCTGTGTATGCACAGACCTGCTGCATAAGCTGACTGTACTGTATATGATTTGTTAAGTGGGAACTTTTGAACCCCCCACAAAATTATAATTTTGCTGTATATGTTTATGCAAGAACCTGTCTGGGTTGAAATACCTATAAGATGTAATATATATCGAGTTTGGAAGAACGCAACACGCGGGAAGTTCCCACTCATTGCACGAAATGGCGCGGACTGTCCATCGCAAGGCCACAGGACGCCCTTCGGTCAAGAACACCATTCGCAATAAGCCATCGTACAGAACCAAAACATATTCGGTCCTCAACAGGCTGTGCGTCACCAACGCAGCTCGAGATGACTCCTCCAACTCTGCATTGGACACGTACTTCCCCGGACTCACTGGAACGCCACGCAAGACAGCATGGAAGCGCATTCACCGCTGGGAGCAGAATCGTGCCGTTCTCAAGGCAGCGGCAGCCGAACCATCCCAGCAACACAAGAAATCCTTGCGGCCTGCTGGTTCGACTCTTGATGTGGCCGTAGAAGAAGGCTTGGCGGCATGGGTCAACGAGCTGCGCAGCAAAGGGATCCCGGTGACCAATCTGCTTCTCCAGCTAAGAGCACTCGAAGTTGCCCGCGACGTTGGGTTGACAGCGATCCAGTTCAAGGCGAGTCCTTCATGGATCAATGGCTTCATGTAGCGGTGGCGCTTTTCCGTGAGTTCCAAGAATCGCTCCGGTCAGGCGGACTTGGCGCAAGGACAAGTTGCGCTCGAAGCATTTGGCTCTCGAGTTCGTGCACTGGTTCTTGAACACGGAATGAGTCCATCTACAATGCCGATCAAACTGGGATCAACTACGAGTACATACCGCAGAAGACCATTGACAGCCTCGGCGCAAAGACAGTGTGGATCAAGGGCTCCGGACATGACAAGGACCGCCTATCCGCCATGCTGTTAGCCGATTCAAACGGTGTGAAATACCCATTGTTTCTGGTTCTCAAGACTGGCGTCTCGCGAATCAAGGGAGTCGTCCAAGACAACCTGAAGCACCGGAACGGCTTTGGCTGCCATGTGTGGGAAGACATCGAAGAGCTCCACGAACGGCATCCATCCAGGATCTACGGCAATCCTACGGCATGGTGGAATAGTCTTATTTCCATCGAGTTTCATTTTCTACCGACGGGGAACTGCATGCAAGCCAGTACTCTTGCTTTGGGATGCGTTCAGCGCGCATTCAACACCGGACGTCCTCGCGTTGGCCAGTGAGCTCAACGTGCTCTTGGAGACGATCCCACCTACGTTTACATGGATATGTCAACCAGCCGATGTTGCTTGGATGCGGCCAATGAAGGTGGCACTCCGTCATCGATGGATCGAGCATTTACGTACCGAAGTCAACAACCACGACGGTGGCCCATTCAAGCTCACTCCTCCTGACCGGTTCGACATCGTCGAGTGGGTCAACGCGGCCTGGGATTCCCTATCCAAGAAGACAATCATCAATGGTTTTCGTAAGTGCAACATTGTGGATACCCCAATTGAACACGAAAGAACTGGCGATGCCGATGTCGATCTTGATGCAGTTGGGGCAGCATCCGTGCTCGACGCAATTCGCCACCTTGGCGCCATGGAACTGGCGGAGCTTGATCCTGCCTTGGACGTGGATGTTGCACTAGAAGATTTACACAATGTTAGTTAAAACTGGTATTGAGTACACCCAAAAAGTATGATTCGTTAACCTTGATGTTGAATGGTGTGACTTGGTGCAACCCTTCGTGTGAATGTCGTGAGTTCAGGGACTCATCGGAATACCAAGGCCGGGGTGCACGAGCCGGTATCCGGCCCAAAAATACCAATAGGCGAGGCCCGAAGGCGGTCCCAAAGGCTAATGGGAGCGCGGGCCATTTGACTCGGCACCCCATAATGACCGAAATCCGTACAGTAATGCCAATTCACAGACACACGAAGAGTTGCAACCGTTACCCGGTTGGGAATATCCGGATGTTGGGGCCATAGAAAATTTGAAAATGGACTTTCAGAATGATGTGAAAACTCCCTTTGATATTTTATGACTTCAATTTTGATTGACACCATCAATCATTTTGACTTGTAGAGAATTTCATTTTACGATTGATGCTGAGTATGGTATAATTCGAATTCGTTTGAACTGCAAGATGGCATCAACTTCTAAACTAAATGCCATACATTTCCCAAGTCTGCCAAGTATCCCAGCAATTCATCCTGAACTTATATACCCTCTTTAATTTGGTACTTCTAGGCTTTGACATGGCATTCAATTATGGAGGTTATTCTGATTTCCTACTTGCCCTCATGTCTCAGAAGTTCCCACTTAACAAATCACATACAGTATATCAAATCGATGCGTTGACGTTGACATGTTCTTCTGTTGGAGTTCACTCAAGTACAGTACAGTACTACTGTAGGGATGTTTATCTAACATTAATACTACTCTGGTCCACAATGATCGTTACAGTATTTTCACTTGATTAAAGTATACACTGTACTTCAGAGCCAAAAGTAACTTGGTTTTTGTATTGAACCATAACAATACATAATTAACAATTGAAATTTAATTGATTGTACGTATATTATTAAGGTACTTAGACTTGCGAATTCAATTGAGCATGAGCTGGTGTAGGTTGAC